CTGTGTTCTGCCCCCTTGCTGGCCGTACTCTATAGGGTTCCCTCCGGTTTTTTTAAAAAAATTCTTCCGCTAGTCCTTCAAATATGCCCGCTAGGCTGACGTTTAGAATTCTTACATAGTTCTAAGAAGAAATAAAGAGAGGCTAATTCTGGTCCGACATAAAAATTCCAATAGCAAAGTTAATCCAGCTCGTTTCTTTTTCTAGAATTATCAAGATGTCATCACCGAAGCTTAATAATATAATTATTCTGGGATGTATACTTTGTTACGCCTCAGTCGTTTTGTTTGGTTTGGATGCGAGGTTCCTCAACTTAAAAGAATACGGAAACAACTGTAATGTAAGATATAGTTCTGCGATTTGTTATAGTAAGATTTCTGTTGACTGTTGTCAAGCTAAAAACGAAAGTAATTACTTTGACCAGTCATGTACAAATGCCGCATATAATCCAATAGATCAATCATTGGACAAAAATATGCAAACGATGTTTGAAAGTGAGTCACCAAGACCAAGTCGCAGTTTTGTTTCTTCCCATTAATTGGCGGGAAAAGAAACAATATTTGTTCCAGTTAAATTGGTGGATCTTGATACAAGAATTGTTTTAGCCAATTAGGGTCTCAGCCAAAACAATACCGACACAAATTTAGATTTAAACCACAGCAGAATACAAAAACAAGTTACTACACACCCATGCATGTAAAGAAATGATGACTTATGGTGTTCAGGCATCACTTCTATTTGTCAAATGACTGAGATGGTGTAGACAGGCAAAAAATGAAGCGATATCTCAAACCAATTAAGCAATTCTACCCGGCTTCTTTCTTTGTCCCGTTTGCGTCCTAATCACGATGAGTCAACGTTTTTTTGCACGTCTATTTCGTCTATAAGCTTACTTAGTTCTTACCCTCTGTATTGAAGATCTTGATTTAGAAATGGTACCCGCGTTATCACCTGATGTAGGCGATTTTGTTTAGTTAACTATCCAAACGTTTATACCAATTACAATATGAAAACCCTTTATATATCAACAGGCTAGAACTTCAGTGCTTTCTATTGGATTTTCTCTATCATTTGGTGCCATGTTTAGCAAAACTTGGCGAGTTCACAAGATATTTACAGCTGCCAAGACCCTCAAGAAAATGGTGAGAAGTAACGAAATAAGTGCACACTAGGCAAACAAAACAATACACTCCATGAGAATTTAAGAAGTGCAAGTCAAATTCCATTTAAAGTTTAATGCATACTTATTTAAGCATTGCTTAATGGCTCAATAGAATAGAATAGAAAGTAAAAGTCCAGATAGACAATGACTGATCACCGCATGTGGAGGATGAGGCATCTGGAACACAAATATTTCTGCCTTGTTGTTCAAGACTGAATTTGGCTTAGGAGGAGCAACTTCTGACACCTTGCTTTTTTTTTTTCATCTCAGGCCATCAAGGATCTTCACCTGCTTGTTATTGTGGCGGGCTTGCTAGCTGTTGATGTGGTGTTCTTGTCATGCTGGATTGCAATTGATCCGCTCGTTGCCGAAATACTGACATTTAAAGAAATGGTGAGTCCTTTGCGAACTTCTAAGCTCGACTGAATAGCCGTAAGCTCGCCTTTTGTAATTGTACTGCAAAAGGCGAACATTGTTGTTTGAGACATTTAGCTTATTCCGCAAAGTAACATTTTATCTCAGTAGCTTGGTATAAAAGATCTTCATGTCAGCTCTTTCTAAATATTGCATGAGTTTTTACGAGCTTCTGAAGCCAGAAAGAAAGTACTGAAAACGAGAACACCAAGCTCAGATTGCATTCGTAGCGCCAGTGTCGAGGGAGGGTGCGAGTTCAGGAAACTTAGGAGAAAGGGGCTTTCTAGGGAACGGAACTTACTTGAAGGGTATGTAGAGAATAACGAACTTCATTTGTTCACCTACAGATCCGAAAGGAAAAAGACATCATCATCATTCCCGCGTTATACCAGTGCACGTGTCAATACAAAACGTATTTCCTTGGCGTCTTATTCGCCTACAAAGGCATCCTTCTGCTATTTGGTCTTTTCTTGGCCTGGGAGACACGTAATGTTACGATTCCGGCCCTGAATGACTCCAGGTATATCGGGATGTCGGTTTATAACGTGGTCGTGTTGTCCATCATTGGTGCTATTGTGGCTATTGCCCTGGATGGATCCATGTATTATGAAGCTCCATATGCCATTTCGTCATTGTGCCTGATCGTGTGCACCACTGCGACGCTGTTACTGGTGTTTGTACCAAAGGTACGAAGTAAAGACGTTAAAAAATTAAAAATTCCTCCCGAGTTATAAGAGATCTTGAGGTGAGAGAGGCGCGGTAATGTGACAATTAGCTTGTCACTATCTCAGTGTCAAGATTTGTACATCGTGGAGAATTTAGAAAGCTGTTGCTAGGAACATAAGGCCTCCGTCGAGTAGGGTGATGTCGTCGTGCTATGTCTTTGGACATGGCATTCTATTTCCACGAGCATTAAAAGATAATTGCTCGGCATCTTACCAGATTCATTTAGTTCTAGGTCACTACCAAACCCACTACCACCCACCAAACATTTGTTATGTTAGAGAAAGATAATACTATCTTCGTGCACCATTTAATTTACGGAACGAAGGCTGCAACTAAACTCACAGCAGTGTGAGTTAGTATTAAAACAAAGGTGTAATAAATACCACAAATTTCCTTTAAGATTTACCAGTTTCTCATGAAAGACGAAACACTAACTACCCAAGCCTCAAGTATGCATGTCGGGCAGACAAGAACACGAGCCCACAGTTATAGCCTAAGCGGCAGTAGCCCTGTTCTAAAGGAGAGACAAACTTCATTCACCTGCAAATCAACACAAACAGACTGCGATGTTCCTGGAAGTGCAGGTCAGAAGAAGTATTCTAATTTTGTTTTCTTACTGGTATTTTATCAAATCTGTTCTTAAATTTTGTCTTGTGGTTATGGCATCGTTCAATTCTTAGACTCCTGTTCTGGCCTGGGAGACTGGAGGCTTCATGCTTTTCTTTTCTTCAATCTGTCTATATATGTCATGTGCTGAAGTTTAGGAGAAATGTTGTGTAAATTGAAGGCGACTTGTGGAGCCTGCGTTCAAGTAACGTGAAACTTTTAGCAGTAAATAAGGAAAATAGTGGCTGTTCGAGACAATAATTTTTAGTATGTTACTACTGCTGCTACTTTTAGGCGCCAGTACCTTACTCATTCCACTAATAGAAAGCCAAGTTAAAAACAACGGACAAGACTTAAATCTTGTAAGTAATTCATGCTCACATCAATTCCTTCTTTATGCCCGTCACCTTGCTTCCAACGTTAAGGACAAGAATTGTCTGAATATTCATGGCCCTTAAAAGGGCCACTACCACGATGCACCATGGTGACTGGTCCCTGGTGAACGCTCAATACTCCTCTACACTCATTCTTTTATTTCTTACTAAAGCTATGTCCGTCCGGTTTGTCTCTCTTTTTTTCCACGTTGATGTTTTTCTCAGGCACTCTACATGCAGTTGTGGACCACAATTAACTACTCTTATCTTCCACCCTCACGCGAAATCCAGCATGGAAAAGGAAGTAATGTGACTTCAGCAGAACGTTGCATTGGCAGCAAACTTGATGTTTTTGACGGAATGCTCGACCCGCCTTCCTTTTGCGTTAAATGTTCTCTTCCTCTGCAGGGCCAACCTACTTTGATTCGGACCTGATCTATTTTTCTTACAAGAGCTTTTTGTCAAAAGCGGCAATGCACCAGCGCTGTGCCGGTTTAAGCCTTCCAATGTTCTTCTCTTTGCAAAGGCTGAATCTGTTCACTTGCTCATCCTTCTCACAACTGAAGTAGCAGCTTCTTTACTCTGCTAGCTTATCATTACAAAAGTATTTTCAGTTTTACTCGCCCAAATTTTAGTAAAATAGGTAAGTCCTTTTTTGTTAATACTGATTCAGATGTGAAGTGGTCCTTTTCGTGAAAAAATAAGGAAGTGTCCTCGGGACCCTAACGTTTTTTAAAAAAGAGGCCAGGTTGGATCCGCCGGCTCCTCCCCTCTCCTCCCTCATCTAGATCGGTCACTGAAGTCTATAAATTACTCTATTTTTGAATTTAAAAGCGAGGCATTTTGTAATTTTTGGGCCCAGAGTGGGAATTTAGTGGGGAAATCCGAGGTATCTATGACAAAGTTACAGTTCGCAGTCTAGTTAGGGTTTTAAGGTAAACGTCTCCATCACACTCGTGTCATAATTGAACAGAAAAGGATTACAGTTACGTTGCTTGTCTTCCTAAAATCTAAAATAGCCAAGACTTTCGCTGTTCTGATTACTTGACTACTTCATGTCTAACTCATTTCTTTTACTTTTCAAGTAAATGGAGTCATTTTCAAGTACAGGGGCTCCTCCTCAAACGACATACCTTACGAAATACGCATGGATGACATCGAACTAAACGAAACAATGGTAGTGGCGTTTAGTCCCCAGACCTGCGAGGCTGTCATCAAAAACTGCTACTCAGAAGCTCCAAGCAGCACTTAGAAGGAAAAATATATATCTATTGCAATGAAACACAACGACGTCATTTAGTCCAGTCCTTCAAGACTCCTTGCTCTGCCTTTGGTGGGACTTCTAGCATAGGTTAAGCCAAGTGTGGGACAAAAGGTCGAAAGACTGAACTATTCTTCACGAAAAATCACGATTGTATTGGAGAATTCAGATGTTTGTGGAAAATCGAATCTTGGTGGAATAATTCACAAAGTACTCGAACACTGTATTTAAGCTCAGAATGGATAAAAACAGGAACATTATGGAAATGATATCACGACGGGGCTCAGTGCAACAAAATTCTTAAGCAGTTTATAATCTTTATGATTTTTAAATCTTCGCCATGTAGTCTCCATCGACATGGCTCTTATACAAGTTTAGCAAAATTAGATTTATTCATTCACTCCATGTCTTTGAAATTCTGAAGGGCTACCCTTAGGACACAAAACAGCACATGATCTTTACATCGCGAAAATACGAAAATAAATGGATATGATTTTGTTAAATAGTTTTTAAATTTATCTGTAAACAGAGAGGTATTAGTCCTCTTGTAATTAATGTTTGGACAGTCAGGTTTCTATGAGGTCGCTTAATTCTTAGCCATCATTGTTAGTTGCATGTTTGTTTGGATTTTTTACTACACTTTGTAAACCATTTACCATTCCCGAATTACCTTCAGCCTCTTTCTCAAAGCGAGTCATGGCGCCCGTCCTTTCATATAAAAATGAGATTTCACCCACATGCAGATTAACCTCATTTTCATATGAATAGTTGTGCGCCAGGCCTCGCTTTGATAAAGAGGCTTAAGGCAACTCGGAAATGGGCTAATGAAGCCCAAAAATGACCTTCTATAGCTTGGAAAATTTAGGTATAATATTTCAAGGCACGTCATCCATGAGGCATCTGAAATTTAGCCAGCGATCACACGGAAAGCAGCCTTAAGATCTGCCTATCCTGTGTAACAATGTAATCAAAAAAAGAATAAGCCAGAGGTAGTAAACAGGAATAAAAAGAGTTCAACCCAATTGCCTAGTTGTTCCCTTTTGTTCGAGTAGAAGCTGGGGAAAGGGGAGCGAATACAGTCATATAAACCCAGT